GGGGGGCAACTCACCAAGAAACACCAAAGCAAAAACACCTACGTATAGATATATATATACACACCTGTGTGCTTCAAAATAAACTCAGAAAAAACTCAGAAAATAACCGGACTAAAAATAAAAAATCCTAATCAAAAAGCATACCGTTTCCACCAAATCACTCATCAACAGGACTTTTTTTTTCGTCTTTGCCTAACGAAGATATAAAAACAATCATGCATTGCAATCCCATGAAGGGACTGGATGTGATGGAGAACAGGATGGATAATCCTGGAAGGGGTCAGACAGAGAGTAGACTCATCAGGGGGGTGGGAAGATTGGGAAGTATTGAAGGGAGAGGCAGGAACAGACGGGGAGTAAAAGAGCAAGCCTGGCATACGATGCACAGCCGCCAGATCTGCCCAAACTATACCAACACTGATGGAGTGACAACGTTTGTCTATTGGCACCACTGCTGACTCACTACCTTAATGGAACCTTGGAGGACACCTATGTAGTACAGTCAATTGCCACCAATGCTGACACAGTACCTGTGGGGACCTACGGGTACAGTGAATTGGCACCACTGCCGACTCAGTACCTACAGGGGCGCCTTAGTGGGGACACCTTGCTGGGGACCTATGGGGTACAGCAAATTGGCACCACTGCTGATACAAGACCTACTGGGCACCTTGGTGGGGACCTACAGGGTACAATGAATTGGCACCACTGATGATTCAGGACCTACTGGGTGCCTCGTGGGGGGCCTACGGGGTAAAGTGCATTGGCACCACTGCTGACTCAGTACCTACAGGGGCACCTTAGTGGGGACCTACGGGGTACAGTGAATTGGCACCACTGCTGATTCAGGACCTACTGGGAGCCTATGGGGCACCTTGGTAGGGATCCACAGGGTACAGTGAATTGGCACCACTGCTGATTCAGGACCTACTGGGCGCCTTGGCAGGGGCCTATGGGGTACAATGAATTTAACTCCTAAAATAACAAAGGTCAGACAGAACCTTAAGCACAGTAAATACTATCAGCAGGCACAGCAGCTCTTTTGGCAATCACTAGACATGCCAGAATGCCAGCCTGGGCCTGGAGGGGAGTGCTAACCCTGGTGGTAAACAATGAATGGAGGACTGCTGCCCCTCAGGGTAGTTCCAGTCCTGATATGGATATGAGGAGTGAAATAATCCCGGGAGGTAAAACAATGAGGACAGGCCCCTGTTGAGGGGGAAGTCAGTCAGAGAGTCTCTTTCTCAGAGGGAGCGTTGTGGCCCTGTGGGGCCCTTGCTGGCAGTGCCCGGGCTCCCTGGCTTTGCCCGGGGCTGGCACTGATGTGAGCTCGGTGCTGTGGACGGGCAGCTGGCTCTTCTTCTTCTTCTCCTCCCTCCGAACGGGCTCAGCAGTCCCATCTTCTCCTCCGGGTCACAGCAGCATCTCCCCCTCTCCCCCCGTCGAGCTCCGGGTGAGATGCAAGGCCGCGCCGAGGCAGCTCGGGGCCTCCCCTCCAGGTGGTCGCTCGTCAGCCCCGGTGATTGCCTCCGTGAGAGGATGCCCGGGTGACGCAGGCCGTGTGCTAGGAATGGCAGCGCTCTATTGTCAGTCAGTGAGCTCCTCCTGCTCTGTCAGCCCTGTGGAGCCGCACACATCCCCCCTCCTCTCCGGTGCTCCTCTCTTTCCTCCGGGATCCCGCATGCCGCACTACAAAAAAAAAAAAAAGTAAATAAAAGCGTCGTGTGCACGCCTCTCAGCAGCTGCCCATTCCGCCGGCTGCAGCCAGCAGCACACTCCAGCCTGGATTCCAGGGGCTTAAAGGACACCTCATGACATCACGGTCATATGATCGGGGCTAGGGGTGACGTCACGGCAGCACGTGACTCATAGAAATTGCAGGCGGGAGAATCCGAGCGACGACGACCTGATGTTACCTGCTGGTGGGACCGAGCGATGAATGAGGGCGTGCTCACTCCTCTGCAGCAGTTCATGGAAGGCGGGTTTGGGTTGTGTCTAGAAACGGGCTTTTACATGTATTTCACTGCGCCTGTTTTACATACTCCTTCCTGGAACAGTCAATACAAATAAAATATGTGCTGGCAGTATGATAAAGTGCAGCAGGACTGTAACGTATGTTAAAACGTAACGCATGTTATAACTCATTTGAACTTTCAGGTTAAAGGTTGAGTTTACCTTTTTATCATCAGCCATATCTGGGGAGTAACATAAAACATGGTGGCATGCCCCCCCCCCCCTCTCCTCAACCCCCCCAAGACCGCGGTTCCCTTTAAAC